CAATGGACTCCAATGGACTCCAATGGACTGCAACGGACTCCAACGGACTCCGACGGACTGCAACGGACTCCAACGGTCTGCAATGGACTGCAACGGACTCCAACGGACTCCAACGGACCCCAACGGACTCCAACGGACTCCAACGGACTCCAACGGACTCCAATGAACTCCAATGGACTCCAACGGACTCCAACGGACTCCAATAGACTTCAATGGACTGCAATGGACACGGTCTGCAATGGACTCCGATGGACTCCAACGGACTCCGCTGGCCTGCAGTGGAGTCTACTGGTGGGCTTTTGCCAATGACCGCTACTCTTTATTTCTGTAGAAGCCAGCTGGGTTAAGTGACGCAATCCAATCACTTTGCAATACCTGCTCAACTCATTCACCCCTTTTGTTCCAACCGTTGTTTGAATGTAGATAATGAGGTGCTCTCCTCTGCAGGGCGCAGCCAAGGTCGCCCAGCATTCCTCCGGCTCGCCGTCCGTTTTCTCTTGCGCTCCCTCTCTGTCTCTTGTCCCTCCCCGTCACGCTGCTCTCCCTCTCACCTCGTCGTCCAAACTTCAAGCGGGCAGCGGGACCCTTCCAAGCGGATATTAGCGGGCAGAGCGTGGGGCGCAGCGCGGCAACCTTGACTCCTCCCCCCCCCCTTTCTTTTTAGCAAACCTATTACCAGGAGGGTCCTATCCTATCACCATCGCCATTCTCCAGGAGCGCCACCCCCTCTTCGTCCCCACCCCCCACCCCTCATCTCTCCACTCTACGCGAACTCTTAAAGTTTTTAGTGCGGCAAATTTTGTCGGAAGCTGTACGCCACACTCGATATGTTACAAAGTTAAAATAAATATTCCGTTTCATCTGATGTTAAATTTTAAGACAACTTTTCCGTTTAACAGTGTCACTGTACAGGGAGGTCCCCACCGCCCGTAAGGTCTTTAGTTCCGTCCGTTCAGTGCGGGCGCTTTTTGTTTTCGTTTCCCTGCTCCGCCCTGTGCCCGCCCCGCCCCGCTCTGGCGCGGACCAGTGGACCCGATAGGGAAGCTCCCGATGGCCGCCATGGATTTCCGATACTGTATGGCGGCGGCGGGCTCTGCCATCGGAATCGGGCTCAGGGAGCAGCAGCGGGCGAGGCCGCTCTTCATTTATTGCGTCCGAGCAGGAGACGAGCTGGGTGGCAGTAACAGTAACAGTAATACCCACGTCAGTGTTGACGCACAGGTTTTCGGTCCGGCAGTGCCGTCCTACTGAGCCCTGCTGGGTAAACTGAAACCGTGTACTTCCACCACTAAATGTAAGCGGTCACCCACTCGCAAAATTGCGGAAATACCGTGGCGAGCGGTGGCGAGAGCTTTTGGAAAAGCCATGCTAAATTTCTCCTTGCGTGTGTAACTTTAGGAAAGAAATCCGCATCAAGATTATATCTGATTGCACCTCTAGAAAATTAGTGAGGAACAGAATCGAAAGTGCGCATGACGATAGACAAATTGACTGCGTGTGTTTCCCGTGCATATATTTTTTTCCGGCAGCTAAAATAAACGATGGTGCGTTCTCTATGAGCTAACCGAAACTTACGACATGAGGGGCTCACGACGCGGCCAACGGAGCCGAGCTGGGGCGTCCGTCCTGCAGTAGCGACTGTCCTGCGATGGACTCCCCGCTGAGCGCGTTATCGGTCAATCGCGGCCATGCCGTGCAGCCTGCGGGGGGCCGCTCTGTGTGTCCGGGACCTCGTTAGTCGTGGCGGGGCGTTGTTGTCGTTGCCGCTGCAATCCTGTAAACCACCGCCTTTATGGGGTCTTACGGCCTGAGCTGCGCACGCCGGGGGTATCTCCGCAGCTCGCAGCAGCAGCGGCGCCGCGTCGTCGGCGCTGTAGCATTGGCTTTGGCAGGGCTAATCTGTCCGAAACCCTCACACCGTCCTGCCCCTGCCCCCTAGCCTCCTTCCCCCGCTGGGTCCCGTCAAATTTAATTAGTTTTCTCTAAAGTACTATCTCTCTCCCCCGCGATCTCACTCGCCCCTGCCCCTCTGACCGAACCGCGCCGCCCAGCTCGACACAGGGAGCTTTTGACTTTTTTGAAGAAGGCACTGCCGTCGACTCTTTGCCCGTGGGTGTGGGCGCGGGCGGCCTCCCATCTCCGACCCCTATATCCCCATCGCCCCACCCCCTCCCTCGCCCACAACTCCCCACAGACGGCCTGTTATTGCCCCAATGCCCTTCGCGCTGGCCCTGAAACTCGCGCGCAAACCATTTTGCAAATTAAATTGCCCCGCACGACTTAGGTTTCTTTTCAATACTGTTTCTCTTGCTTTTCGCTCATGCGCGTGGAGGGTTGCCAAAATGATTGCGATTAACCGGGCTATAGGCCGGCCCTTTAGAACGATGTGGGTAATCGGGCCTCTGAGATTACCTGGGCCGCTCGCCCGGCCCCCCTTCACAGCGGCCCTCCGCCCGGCAAACAAACCGTCGACCTTTGGCGAATGACGCGTCCCGACCTTTTGGGCGAGATTGGGTGAAGGCCGTGGCATTCTGGTGGCCGTTTGCAACAGAGCGCCCTGCTATCCCGTCGCGGCCGGGGACCCCTCGGGCCCTGGGCCCCTTTGGCGCGAGACAAGTGACCCGTCCACGGCCACTCTCCCGGCAGGGGAAAAACCCATCGCCTGCAAGTCGGAGAGAAAAAAAAGGGGCACATACTTTAAAAGTTCCGAAACTGTCCTCGGAACCCGTTTTAAAGACTGGGTAATTGTTCTTACACCATCGTTAAAAAAAACACACCTTCTTCAAGACCCTTTGTAACTCTATGCTGCCTTTTCTTCTCATTTTTCTTCCCTTCCATCTTCGCGTTCTAACGAGGCGCACTCTTGTTTCTCTTTTGCAGATGTACCCCAAGCGGGACATCACCAACATCGTGGAGGCGTCCCACTCCGTGAAGGTGACCGGCTGGTGCCGCGTCGGCCACAAGAAGTGCAAGCACTCCGCCATGGTCAAGCCCTTCCGGTGCTTAGGTGAGTAGCGGTGTTTTTTTTTTCTTTTTCTTTTCTGGGAGGCCGGGACCGGGGCAGTGCCCCTGCGATCCCCGGGTAGGCCGTGCCGCCGCGCTGGCGTGCGGAGCTGGTGGCCTATCCCCCGACTGCCGGGCGGTGGCTGCGTTGGGGCTGGTATCGCCTGCCGCCTGCCTGCCTGCCTCCGCTCCGCTGCTCCGCTCCGTGTTCCTCGCGCTTGTTTCTCTCCGTGTTTTTTCGCTCAATTTTTCCCTTTTTACGGCCGTTTTGCTCCGCTGCATACGACACCACGACGTCGGCCTCATCCCCCCCCCCCCC